CACACCCACACCCACACCCACACCCACACCCACACCCACACCCACACCCACCCACACCCACACCCACACCCACACCCACCCGCTGACACTTAGATATAGGAGATTCGCTAGGCGAGCAACGCTTCGGTAGTGCCTAAGTAATTGAATTTAACTTTCAAGTTTAACACGTGTGACAGATGCGAACGTAATAAAACGATGCAGAAACGGACGTAAAAAAACGATGCAAAAACGGGCGTAGAAAAAAGAATGTGAAAAAGACGTAAAGAGAAGGAGCATAAAATGTGGCGTATAGAAAAGGTCGTAACGAAAAATGTCTACATTCCGACGTGTATAAAAGGAATTGTAATAGATTTAGACATACAGAGACAAAAATGGCAATACTACAATAGGATTTTGTTTGAGATTTATATGTGTTTTGCATTTCTCTAAAAAAAGGCTCATTACTTCTTTTCACCATTGTTTCCCAGAGATATTATGAAGTTGATTATATACCATACCGACACTCACACTCGAAAAACACACCCTCTTATTCCACTTTGCTAGTTATCTTGTATTAGTTACAACATAACGGTAAAAGTAAGTGATTTCGAATTTTAGACTTTGTATTCCTGGGAATGAGTCTTTGGGATGATGCTTCCGACACTTCAAGTTCTTCAAATATACAAACTTCCAACAGTGGAACTGAACTCGCGCTTATGACTCCAGATCAAATGGTGATATATGATTTGAACAATCAAGAGCTCGTGCACAGCGATACCGACGCACTTCTCGATTCTTTGGATGCTTGTGAGAAAATTGTTGTCGCAGCCTACACTGTTGCAAATTATGTTCCTGATCTTAGTAATAATGAATATGCCACCTTTTGGAAGAATGATGTAAGTTTTAAGACCTTGGAACTTTTACTGCAAGGCTAAATCGTAATATATCCTCCCTCACATTGGTACCGTTGTTAACAAATTTTAGCACAGTAGACATTCGTAACCAAACTCCGTTGTGTATTGGATAGTTTTTTTTAAATAGAAGATTCCGGATGTACATAAATAACTAGAAGCTTCTATGATTGAGCAGAAAGTTCATAAAGATCCCGTATCCTCTATAGAACCTTTATTAGTTCCATGTAGAACCTTAGAAGGGTCTATGTTTTAATCCATACCTAGAGATCTGTAAGCTTATGAGTGTGAATGCAGAACAATTTAAGGTTTTGTGTCGTACCTTTTTTTTACAAAATAGCACTGGACAATAGCAGATAGGTGATTCATATCGCCTTTTCCAGTCGATGCCTCTGGTATTTTCATAAGTTAGAATATAAGATAATAGAAATAGTGGTATCACAATTGCGAATCTTTGCTAACTATAATTGTTGCCAAGTTACTACACTTGTGACAGCAAAGTAAGTGATTATTGTTTGTCAAATGTCACTACCGATTTTATGCTGCTCCTCCTTTCCAATTAACATTAATTGTACTGTAAGACATAAAAAAGTTAAGCCGTATTTACGATTTGCTTGTTGGTCTCGAACATGTATAAAAAAGGGTTAGTTCTAGCTTATTTGCTGCTAAAAGCGATCTCTTCTCTTTCATCAATCTTTTTTCATCCCGTTCTCTATTGTTCTTCCCCATAGATCTTCTCTTCTCTCTGACATTATCTATTTTTTTCCATTTGTTGAGAAAAGGGTAATTAGTGAAAATATAAATAATATACAGTTTTGTTTATTTCTCATTATCATCGTCAACAAGAATAAAATAAAAGATACGTTTGAATAGACCACACCCCATTTTTTTAACAATAACTGATTTTTTGTTTATGAAACAGTGAATTCATTTATACTTATCTAACCTTGCATAATAATCTCAAGAATGACATAAACTATTTAAATAAAACCGATCACCTTTCACCAACGAAGATTTATTGTAAGTTACACACTACACGGATGCCAATTCAAACATACTCGACTTTTTTTCTTAATTGCGTTGATAATAAGAAATAAACAGGAGAGTAACTTATTTATCTTTTCAGCAATTATCCTTTTTTCAATAAATCGAGAAGGAGATAATGCCAGAGATTTGAGAAAGTGTAAAAAGAATAACAATGAGGTATTTGATGAACCAACAGTTGTTGTTCAAGTAAGATGATAGAAAAAGACAGATGAAAGAGAAGAAATCGCTCTTAGGAACAAATAAACTCGAATGGCGACTTTTTTCATACGTGTTCGTGGCCAACAAGCAAAACGTGAATAAGACTCATTTATATTTTAATAGTTTTTCTTTGGCCGGTGAATAGTTTTCGCCAGTTTTGTTTGACAAATAATATTGTCGAATACTTTTGTGCTACTGAGTCAAATTCTGTCTTGATATTCTATCAACTAAGAATAAATGTAACCCCGCTTTCCACTACAGACTCAAAAGCTTTCTTGCTTTTATCTTCGTTCGGTAGATTTTGTTTTAAATTTGAGCGCTTAGTTATTACCCATCGGCACTTGTGAGTATGAGTGCACGAGATGCATGAAAGTGTGGGTGTGAGGATGTGGATGTGAGTGTGAGTGTGAGTGTGCTTGTGAATGAGGGCTGGATATGAATGTGTTTACGTGAGATGACAGCAACACAGGACCACCGAAGCAGCTATTCAGTTAAAATGATTGCCGACCGATAGCGATAGATTTATAACCACAATGAACATCTCTGGAGTGTGGATAGTCAGGTGAGTTGGTGTGGTTGAAGAGGAGGTCCACACTCACACAAGATAAGTGAAACGGACAGTCCAGAAAAATATTCCGATAAATAGTGTAGAATAATAACTTCGTATAAGGAATATATTTTCGCCATTATGGTCGACTTCGGAAAATTTAAGGATCGTATCTAAATATGAGTTCATCGAAATATTTGATTATTGGTGTTATAAGTATACTTGGCCGTTGCTAAG